GGTGTTCACAGCCAGAAGTTATGGGGATATCTCTTCCTGGCACTGGAACCCTGGGGTGGGGGCCTTGTTTTTCAGGGGGAACCTCAGCAGCAAAGTTATACCTCTTGGTTTTTTTCTTCCACACAAGGGTGGGGGACTAGTGCATTCCAGTTTTCACACCTTCTACCAGAATTGGTGTGGCTTCTTTAATTCCCTAGTTGTAGGGCTTCATTCAGCAAGACTTCAGGTAGTTCTGAATGATGATTGTTCTGTAGTTTAGTTGTAATTTTGATGTGTGTAGTTTTGTGTTTTTTTTTTAAACTGGCTTCCAAATAAAGTCCACACATTGCAAATTTACAGTCTCTATCTAGTTCCTGCATTGCTGCTCTTTTTCCTTTTTAACCAGGTTGGTTATAGTTTCCACAATCTAGATTTGCTGATCACATTCTTATGGTGAAGTTCAATGTGCTTGGCTGTTCTCTGCATTTCCTTTTAATTGCTATTTTACTGGCTCGTCTTCAAGATTTTCATATACTGCTAGAAAATATTTTCTTGTATGTTCTTGTTTTACTATATATATTTCTTCAGCTGATTGTTTTTCAATTTAGTAACCATAATTAAAACTTAATGGTTTTGTAGGTGACTGTAATTTGAAAAAAACACAGTAACATTGACTGCATTTTATTGAAGATTGTTACAGAGTCGAGGAGTATACTATACTGTTATTTCATTCCCTTGCCAAGCTTTCTTCCATCGGAATTGCCTTTTTCTTTTCTTTCACTGTGTTTCTTTATTATTTCATCTGTACATTGTTGTTGTTGTTTTTGTTTAGTTCTTTTTATAGAGCCCTTCTGAATTCCTATCCCTTTGTAAATTGAGTTCTCTATAGCATCAGTATCGTTGTACTTCCTTGCTTTCATTGAAAGTTGCCTTTCCTAAAGGTATTGCATCCCATCTACCTTAGCATCTAGATGAAGTATTTACATTTCTGCTTTGTTTTATTTTCATATGCAGAAAGAAATTTGACATAATTCAGCATCTTTTCATGATTAAAAATTCAACAGATTGTCGATAGAAGGGATGTACCTCAAATAAGAAAGGCCATATTAGACAAAACTACAACTAACATCATCCTCAACAGTGAAAAGCTGAAAGCTTTTTTTCCTAAGGTGTCAGACACAGTACACGGATGCCTACTCTCAACACTTTATTCAACATAGTACTGGAAGTCTTAGCCAGAGCACTTAGGCAAGGAAAAGAAAAGGCATGCAACTCAAAAAGGAAGAAGTAAAAATGTCTCTATTTGCAGATGACAAGATATTATATATAGAAAATCCTAAAACCTCTACCAAAAAAGAACTGTTAGAGCTAATACATACATTCAGTAAAGTTGCAGTATACAAAATTAATATGCAAATATCAGTTGCACTTCTATACACTAACAATGAACAATCAGAAAGAGAAATTAAGAAAACAGTTTCTTTTACAATTGCATCAAAAGAAAAATACTTTGGAATAAATTTAGCCCAGGACATGAAAGATCAGTGCAGTAAAAACTATATGACAATAATGTTAGAAATTGAAGAATACATATACATAGAAAGCTATTCCATGCTCATGGATTGGAAGAATTAATAGAGTTACAATGTCCCTAATACCCAAAGCAATGTACAGATTAAATGCAATTCCTATCAAAATTACAGTGGTATTGTCACAAAAATAAAACAAACCTACAGCTCTATGGAATCAAAAAAGACTCCTAATAGCCAAAGCAGTACTGAGTAAGTAGAACAAAGCTGGAGGTATCACAGTTTCTGATTTTAAAATATGACGAAGCTATGGTAATCGAAACAATATGGTATTTGTATAAAATCACACATTGATCAATTAAACAGAATAGAGAGCCCCTACATAAGCACATACATACATGGTCAATTAATATGACAAAGGAGTCAATAATATATATACAATGGAGAAAAAATAGTCTCTTCAATTAAATGTGTTAGGAAAACTGGACAGCCAGATGCAAAAGAATGAAGCTGAGTCCCTATCATGCACAAAATCAACTCAGTATGGACTTGAATGTAATGCTTGAAGCCATAAAATTTTTAGAAGAAAACAAGGAGTTTTGCTTCTTTATATTGGTCTTGACAGTGATTTTTTTTATACTTTTTATTTGACAGCAAAAGGAAAGGCAACCAAAGTAAAAATAAATGAGAAGGACTATATGGAATGAAAAAGCTTTTGCTCAGTGAGGGAAACCATCAACAAAATGAAAATGCAACCTATGGAATGGGGGAAAATATTTGCAAAGTATCTATCTGATAAAGGGATAATACTCAAAATATATAAGGGATTCATACAACTCAATAGCCAACAAACAAACAATTGAAATCCTAATTAAAAAATGGTCAAAGGACCTGAAAAGACACTTTTCGAAAGAAGACATATAAATAACCAACAAATACATGAAAAGGTGCTCAATATCACTATCGGGCAAATACAAAGCAAGGCCACAGTGAGATATCACCTCACACCTGTTAGGGTGGCTATCCAAAGGACAAGAGATAACAGATGCTAGTGAGGATGCAGAGAAAATGGAACGCTTTATACTGTTGGTGGGAATGTAAATTGGCATAGCCACTATGGAAACAGTATGGAGGTTCCTCAGGAAATTAAAAATAGAACTACAGTATGATCCAGCATTCCCACTTTTGGGTCTGTATCCAATGGAAACTTAACTATTATCTTGAAGAGATATTTGTACTCCAGTGTTCATTGCTGTATTATTCAAACAGCCAAGGTATAGAAATAACCTGTCACTGGGTGAATGGGTCAAGAAAATGTGGTGTGTACACATGTGCGTGGGTGTGTATACTGGAACATTTATTATTCAACCTTTACAAAGGAATGCATGCTATTTGTGAAAGCATAAATGGACCTGGAGGGCAAGTAAAATAGTCCAGACAAAAGACCAAATACTGTATAGTAACATATATCTGGAATCTTAAAAAGAAAAAAAAAGTGTAACTCTAAGAAACAGAAGAGTGATTGCGAGGGGGTGGGGAAAATAGGGAGAAATTGGTAAAGGCTATAAGTTCTCAGTTATAAGATAGATAAGGTCTGGAGAGCTAAAGTATAACATGGTGACTATAGTTGAGAATACTGTATTGTATAATTGAAATTTTCTGAGAGAGGAGAACTTAGTCTTCCCTTCCCCCAAAAAGGTATACAATGAGGTGATGGATGTGTTAGTTAACTCAGCAGGAGGGGGGAATCTTTTTATAGTGCATACAATGAAAATCATTGTGTTGTATGCTTTAAGTATCTTGCAATTTTATCTGTCAATTATACTAGAATATAATTTTGCTGAAAATTTTGCTTTGTTTTGTTTTTATACACTGAAAGTATTTTCTCATACAATTGGGTCCTTTGGTTGAATGTAGAACTAAATATCATACTGCAATTCACTTACTCAATAATCATTTTCCCTTCATCTGAACTTAGTGAAGTGCTTGATCCATAGTACATGTCGTATAAGTATGCTTGCTATTATCCCATCTTCCTCTGCTCATGATTTACTTCTATGGGGAAGGTTGTCAGATTTTCACCTTTTCCAAATGTCAGTGTCATGTTTTAGCTGGCAGCTAGATTCTGGTGTAATTGCCCTACTTATATTTCTAAATTAAAGTGTGTAAAACTGTAGGCCTTATTCTCCTCACCTTCCAGTGTCAAAGGGCAAAGTCCTTCTAATCTCCTTATTTCCATTAATGGTATTATAGATCTCACAAATTTGAAATCCTCACACCATCTTCCACTCCTGGCTTCTATATTCAGTTCGTCTCCAGGCTGTATCAAGTCTTGCTTTTATTTTACCTCTCATCATGCCATTTCAGTTCAGGATCTTACCACTACCTACACCATTGCAGTAGCTTTCTGACTCTTCATCATTTTACCTTTCTAATTCATTATTGACTGTGGAATAAAGTTTAAATTCTTTTATCTGACATTCAGACTTTTTTTAGTTTTATACTATATCAGTTAGGATTGCATTCATTTACAAGTAACATAATGTCTGGGGATAGATTGGAGGTGATTCTTGACATTGATTCAGCTGCTTAAGGTTGCCAGGTCTTTTGTTCTCTTGGGCTTTTCTTCATGGTTGCCTACTAGTTTTAAGGTGACTACACTACCCTATATTTATATTCAGATTCAGGTAGGAAGAAAGTGAGGGTGAAAAAACAAAAAGGAAGCTAAGCCAGCCTCCTTTTAAGGAGGAGTGGTCCTGGAAGTACCACTCAACTTTCATTTAAATCTCATTTTCTAAAACTGGTTCATGCGGCTACCTATCTGTGGGGAAGTACAATGTTTAGTTTTGTTTTTTGATATATTACTCTCTTCAATAAAATTGGGCTCCTGTATCAAGGAAGAAGGTAAAGTGCAGATTGGGTATATAGCTACAGTTTTGCCATGAGTACCTGTCTATCCTAAATGCTGTAACTTCTCAAATTCTACACTTTAGTCCAATAAATTACTGAATGTATTTTATATCGTTCAGCAGTTTCACTCTCTTGGAATGTTCTTCCTTTTCCACCCATCTAAATCCAAACATTGTTCAAGATCAGTTTTAAATATGAACTCCTCTCATAAAACTCATCAATTAATCCCAGCATGAAATCTTGTTTTTTCCCCTCCAGACACTAATAAGCAATTGTCAGAGTAATTCATTTGTTGAGAAATATGCCTCATGGGAACTCTTCTGTGGTCTGTAACTGATTTTCTTTGTTTTGCATTACATATTGATATTATGTTTCCTCAGTTAGGTTGTAAACTTGACAGTTTTATGGTCCTTGTCTGCAGTAAGTTTATAATCTTGATGTCTTTCACAGTGCTTTTTATATGGTAGTACACAGTATTCAAATTATGGATTTGATAGTCTTGTCAGTGAAGACTTCTTTCTATATGAAGGATGCCTTATCAATACCATTTTCATTTGTTAACTATGTTGTTTTCTCCTATAGGCACATGTTCTGAAAAAGACTCTGCATGGAAATGGCTTGCCTTACAATGACAGAAATGGAAGGAACATCCACATTTCCTATACATCATAATGGTGATATTCCTGGAATTGTTGATTCTGTGAAGCAAATAGATCCAGTCCTACAGGTGTATCTTTATCATTCCCTTGGGAAAGCTGAGGGAGATAACCTGAAGTTTCCAACTGGGGAGTATGTTGCAGAAGAAATTTGTGTTGCTGCTTCTAAAGCCTGCGGTAACTATTGAAAATAGTTATTTTTCTTATTAGTAAATGATTACTTTAATTATCCCACTCTAATATAATGTACATGTATAATGTGTTAATCTTATTTTTTAATGCTTGTGTGGCTGACAGGCGTGCTTTCACATGCACAAAAAATGACAATGTTACTATAGTAGAATTTAAGGCAAACCTGTCTTGTGCTAGTTCTATAGACTGAATGGTTGTGTGTCCCATCCCCCCACCCCAGCCCAATTTACATTGAAATTTATTCCCCCAGTGTAATGTTATGTGGAGGTAGGGCCTTTGGGAAGTGATTAGGTCATCAGGCAGATCCCTGATCAGTGAGATTAGTGTTCTTGTAAAAGAGACCCCAGAGAACATCTTTGCTATTTCTGCCATGTGAAGACATAGTAAAAAGATGAATTAGAAAATGAATTGTCTATGAACCAGGAGAAAATCTTCATCAGACACTGAATCTGCAGCACCTTAATTTTGTTCTTTCCAACCTCCAGAACTGTGACAAACTTTTGTTGTTTAGCAGCTACTTAGTCTATGATATTTTTGTTATAGCATGCCAAATGGACTAAGACAAAGATTGGTACTGAGACGTGGGGGCATGCTGTAACAAATACCTAAAAATGTGGATGTGGCTTTGTAATTAGGTAATGGGTAATGAACGAGTTTTGAGGTGCACGCTAGAAAAAGCCTACCTTGTTGTGAACAGACCATTAAAGGCAGTTCTGGTGAGGGCTCAGAAAGAAAAGAAGAGAGCTATAGGGAAAGCCTCATCTTTTTAGAGAACACTTAAGTAATCTTGAACAGAATGTTGGTAGAAATATGAACAGTAAAGGTAATTCTGATGAGGTCTTAGGTGAGTATGAGGAATGACTTGAAAATGGAATTGTTAAGCAAAAAGGAAGCAAAACTTGAAGATTTGGAAAATTCTCGGCCCATCCATCTTGTAAAAAATGAGAAAGTGTGGTTGGAGAGTACACTCAGGCAGTGGCTAAGCAACCATTTGATAATTAGTGTGGATCAACCATCTCAATAGATGCCAGGAGTTATTCCTTAAGGCAATAGAAGAATGACTTCAAAGGCAACTCAGAAATCATTTGGGCTTTGGGCTACTCATCCTATCACAGACTTAATGCAAGGGCCCTGGTGACAGAGCAAAGGAGGAGCTGCTAGATCTTGGAGGCATCCTGCTTGCTTCCTGGGCTGCCTCGTTTTGAGGGCTCCTCTGGTGCACCACAGCTCTGAGCTCATTGGCTGCCCTAGGTACAGCTCTGGTAGTCTTTCCTGCAGCAGCTGCCCCTCTGTAGCATGCAGGCAGCAAACTTGGGTGGAGTAAGCTGTTTCTGTCATCTGAGATTGCACAAGCACAGAGGGCATAGTTCCCTCCAGCTAGATTTTGAAGGATAGAGGCACCCAAATCCATGGGGCAGGGCTCCTGGAGCCTTGGGAGCCCAAACTCTGCCCAGCAAAGATGTAGGGGCAGGAGCACTGCCCCAGTGGGCCTAGAGGTCAGAGCATCATAGTGTAGAGGCAATAAAGTTTAGACAAACTGGCTATATAGAGTTATCTGTTGGAATTTTCCCACCTCTCTCTGAGCCCTTTGCCTCTTACTCTCCTTCCTTAACTGTGCTGCCTGTGTACCTAGTAGTATTCCTTCCCTTCCCACCCCCAAATGCCTTTCATTCTATCTAGTTACAATTGAAACTTAACGATCCTTTTAACAATCCTTTGTTTAGTGTGGATTTTATTATCTTATAAAATATTTTATGTTATACGTGATAAATAGTTTTAATGTCAAAATATTTGTATTTAATGACATATCTTGGTCTGTAGTAATCTTTAATTGTAAAATGTTTAGGGGAAATATATATTTTTAAATAACCTTTATTTTTAACTCAGTACCTAAAGAGTAGAATAGAATGTGGAGTTAATGTTACAACTGTATACCATGTTGTACAACATTATTTTCAGCTAGCTAAAACTTAACTGTCCTAAGTACTTTAGATGTGTTATTTAATACTTAACAACAACACTAGCATGTGTAGGTACTATTGTTATCTTTCTTTTAAAGATGACAAAATGGCCCAAATTATTCTTTATTCTTTAACCTGACTTTAGAATTCCTTTTGGCACTTTTGGAAGTAGAGTTTTCAGGGCCCTAATCTTCAACATTGAAAATTGTGACCAGTCATGAGATGGTTCAGTCAAGCCAGCACCCAGTTGAACCATTTAACCCAGAATCATTTGACAAGTGAATAAATGGGTTAGCTTTGTTGTGGACAGAGAGTAAAGAAAGGTTATACAATGGTGTTGGAAACCATTGTCAGCTCTACTTTGATGTGAGAAAAATAACCAGGGTCTCATCAGGGTAGGGTTGTTTTTTAAACCTGCCTATTTAGAGTTAGAACTAGCATTTGTAATGTTTTGAATAACTTTTAAAGAGATTTGAAGAATATTTTTAATATTTATCCACATATGTACAATTTTTAGCAATCTTTATTTCTTTGTGTGAATTCAGATGTCCATTTGGCATCATTCTTCTTTTGAAGAACTTTCCTTTAATATTTTTTGTAGTGTAGGTTTGCTGGATATAAATTATCTCAATTTTTGTTTGGTTAAAAGTTTTTACCATTATTTTTGAAAGACATTTTAGCCACTTATGTAGAATGTCTACAATATTTTATTTCAATACTTCTTTTCACTATTTTTGGCTTGAATTGTTTCTAATCAGAAGCTATATCATTCTTATCTTTGTTTCTTTGTATTTAATGTGTCTTTTTTTCTCTGATGGTTTTTGTGATTCTCTTTTCATCACTTGTTTTCAGAAATTTGATTATCATGTACTTTGATGCAGATTTCTTTATGTTTGCTTTGCTGGTGGTTTTTTGAGCCTCTTGGATCTATGAGTTTATAATTTTCATTATATTCATGTACTCCTTTCTTGTTCTTTGTCTCTGGACTTTATTAGACCTTTTGATATTTTTTGACATCATTTTTGCATTTTTTGTTCAGTCTTAGTTTTCTGTGTTTGGTTTCATTTCATTTGGTTTCTATTGCTGTGTCTTCATATTTATGAATCTTTTTTTCCTGCAGTTTATACTTTAAAAGTTTTATTTGGATTGCTTTTTAATGATTTCCATTACCTCATCATGTTCATGTTTTGTTCTACCTTCTTTAATAAATGGAAAGTGTTAATAGTATTTGATTTCATTTTTTTTCATTGGTAACTCTACCATCTGTTTCATTTTGGGACATCCTTCTGTTCATTTATATTTCTTCTAGTTTTGGGTCATATTTTCCTGTTTCTTTGAATGCCTACAATTTTTGGATAACTTTGGATGCTGCACATTGTAACATAAATTTGTAGTTTACATTGTTGGCTGCTGGATTTTGTTGTATTCTTTAAATAGTGATGGATTTTGTTCCGGCAGGTGATTAGGTAACTTGTGGTTTACTTTGGTGCTTTTGGACTTCCTTCTTTTTTTGTTAGGTAATTCAGTATTTTTAGTGTATTTACAGAGCTGTGCAATCATCACGTCAATTTTTACCACCTCATACTTATCAGAACTAACTACCCATTTCTTCCTCAGCTCCCTTAACCACCTATCTACTTCTGTCTTTAGGAATTTGCATATTTGGGACATTTCATATAAATAGAATCATGCAATATGTGGTTCTTTTTGACTAGGAGTAGAATTGTTAAGTCACATGGTAACTTTGTGCTTAACCCTTTGAGGAAATGCCAGAATGTTTTCAAAGCACCCGTATGTTTCAAATTCCCACCAGCAGTGTATGAAGGCCTCAATTTCTCTGCATCCTCATCAACACTTGTTATTACCTATCTTTTTGATGATAGTATGAAGTTGATTCATGTTGTACTATCTATTAGTACTTTATTCTTTTATGACTAAATAATACTCCGTTGTATGGATAATACTACATATAGTTTAACTGTTTATCAGTTGACATTATGACTCTTTTCCCCTTTAGGGTATCATGAATAATATTTCTTTGAACATTTATGTACAAGTCTGTGTATGGACATACGATAATTTCTCCGGTGTATATACCTTGGAATGAAATTGCTGGGTCAAATGGTAACCTCACATTTCACTTTTGAGGAATTACTAATGTGGAGAGATCTGATCAGATCCCTGGGGAGGAGTGGGGAGGAGCTATAGGAGGAGGTTGCTTGAGGCAATGGTAAACAGTTTAGGATGGGATTGGCTGAGAGGCTGAGTGCCTCCAGAGCATGTGGAATTACGGGCCAGAAGATTTAAAATAAAAAGAGGTCAGAGACTCGTCTCCAGCTCTCTTCCTTAAAAATGCTTGGATGATTGTGCTGCAGCTTCCTACATTTCCCAAAGGATGGTATTTTGGATGGGAGAAGAAACTCCAGGTGCAGCCTAGGATCAGGTTGGACTGCCAGAAGGTAGTAGGATTATTCTTCTTTGGGTGTTTTAGAGGGGACCAGCTCTGAGTCAGAAGCCTGCCATTCTTCCAAAATTGTGTGGCTTTTTTTAATTTTGAAAAGAAATTTTATTGATTGATTTTAGAGGAATAGGAAGAGAGAGAGAGAGAGCGCTATACAGAGTGAAACATCAATTTGTGTTCCACTTATTTATATCTCATTGGTTAATTCTTTTTTTAAATCATATTTTATTGATTATGCTATTACAGTTGTCCCATTACCCCCCTTCATTCCCCTCCACCCTGCATACCCCCTCCTATCCAGATTCCCCCCCTTTAGTTCATGTCCATGTGTCACACTTATAAGTTCTTTAGCTTCTACATTTCCCATACTATTCTTGCCCTCCCCCTGTCTATTTTCTACCTACCTATCTATGCTACTTATTCTCCATACCTTTTCCCCTTCTCTCCTCCTCCCACTCTCCTGTTGCTAACCCTCCATGTGATCTCCATTTCTGTGGTTCTCTTCCTGTTCTAGTTGTTGGCTTAGTTTCTTTTTGTTTTTGTTTTAGGTGTGGTTGTTAATAATTGTGAGTTTGCTGTCATTTTACTGTACATGTTTTTTATCTTCTCTTTCTTAGATAAGTCCCTTTAACATTTCATATAATAAGGGCTTGGTGGTGATGAACTCCCTTAACTTGACCTTATCTGAGAAGCACTTTATCTGCCCTTCCATTCTAAATGAAAGCTTTGCTGGATAGAGTAATCTTGGATGTAGGTTCTTGCCTTTCAAGACTTGGAATACTTCTTTCCAGTCCCTTCTTGCTTGTAAGGTCTCTTTTGAGAAATCAGCTGACAGTCTTATGGGAACTCCTTTGTAGGCAACTGTCTCCTTTTCTCTTGCTGCTTTTAGGATTCTCCTTATCTTTAATCTTGGCTAATGTAATTATGATGTGCCTTGGTGTGTTCCTCCTTGGGTCCAACTTCTTTGGGACTCTTTGAACTTCCTGGACTTCCTGGAAGTCTATTTCCTTTGCCAGACTGGGGAAGTTCTCCTTTATTATTTGTTCAAATTAGTTTTCCACTTGTTGTTCTTCCTCTTCCCCTTCTGGTACCCCTATAATTCGTATGTTGGAACATTTAATAAAGATGTCCTGGAGGTTCCTCAGCCTCTCCTCATGTTTTTGAATTCTTGTTTCTTCATTCTTTTCTGTTTGGTTGTTTCTTCCTTCTGGTTCACTCCATTGATTTGAGTCCCAGTTTCCTTCCCATCACTATTGGTTACCTGTCCATTTTCCTTTATTTCATTTAGCGTAGCCTTCATTTTTTCATCTAATTTGTGACCAAGTCCAACCAGTTCTGTGAGCATCCTGATCACCAGTGCTTTGAACTGGACATCTGATAGGTTGGCTATCTCTTCGTCCTGCAGCTTTGATCTGTTCTTTCGTTTTGGCCATTTTTTTTGGTCTTGATGCACCTGTTACGTAGTGAGGGGCAGAGCCTTAGATTTTCACCAGGGTGGGGCAACCCACCTCGCTGTGTTGTGATGCTATTTGTGGGTGAGGGGTCCGAAAGGGAACAATGGTGCTTCCTCCACTCTCTGCTGGATTTCAGTCCCTTCTGCCGCTTTCCTCAAGCAAATTGGTCCCTTCTGATGCTGATTCCCATATAGATGAGCTTGTATACCATGTAGGACCCTGTGGGTCTCTCCAATGAACTCTCCTGTGAAGCTGGGAGTCTCTCCTGGCACCTCAACACCCACAGGTGTTTTCAGTCTGTGTTTTGAGGCTTTATTTCCCCGTGCTGGAGCCCTGGGTTGCACAATCTGTCTCACTCCCCAGTTTCTCCTGGTTTATCTGCACAGGAATGGGGGACTGCCTGGTCCACCAGCTGCCTTGTGCACCATGCCCATCCACAATCAGCTGCCTCACTGGGTTCTCCTGCTGCCACCCCTCGCCCGGGGTTCCACCAGCCACCACTTTTCTTGTGGTGACCCCTCTCCACCTGGCCACCCGACTCCACCCCTTCTACTGGTCTGGATGAATGTGTCTATTCTAACTCCTTGGTTGTTGGACTTCCATACAGTTCTATTTTCTGTCAGTACTGGTTGTTTTTTGTTTCTAAATTTTTGTTGTCCTTATTTTGGTTGTGTGAAGATGCACAGTGTGTGAACCTATGCCTCCATCTTGGCCATAAGTTCAAAAATACTCTTTTTTTGAGGCTTATATTTTCAAATATATAGGATTTCAAAAAAATTTTATTAAAAAATAAGAATAATTATTTTAATTTTATGTACTTGCTATTTCATTTGAACTGAGGACTTAGCATTTCTATTTTTATTTTTAAATTTTAAGTATATTTTATTGATTATGCTATTACAGTTGTCCCTTTTTTCTCTCCTTTCTCTCTCTGTGCCTGCACCCTTCTTCCCATCCAGTATTCCTTCTCCCCAACCCCCACCTTAGTTCATGTCCATGGGTTGTACATATAAGTTCTTTGGCTTTTTCATTTCCTATACCATTCTTAACTTCCTTGTATCTATTTTGTACCTTCCAATTATGCTTCTTATTCCTTGTACCTTTTTCTCCCATTCTTCCCTCTCCCCCTCTCCACTGATAACCCTCCATGTGATTTCTATTTCTGATTCTTTTCCTGTTCTAGTTGTTTGCTTAGTTTGTTTTAGTTTTTATTTTCTATTAATTTCAGTTGTTGATAGTTGAGTTTGCTGTTTTGATTTTTTTTTTTTTTTTTAGGTAAGTCCCTTTAACATTTCATATAATAAGGGCTTGGTGATGATGAACTCCTTTAATTTGACCTTATCTGCCCTTTTATTATTTTATCTGCCCTTCCATTCTGAATGACAGCTTTGCTGAATAGAGTAATTTTGGATATAGGTCCTTGCTTTTCATGACTTTAAATATGAATACTTCTTTTTAGTCCCTTCTTGCCTGTAGGGTTTCTTTTGAGAAGTCAGCCCATAGTCTTATGGGAACTCCTTTGTAGGTAACTCTCTTCTCTTGCTGCTTTTAAGACTCTCTCCTTCTTCTTAATCTTGGGTAATCTAATTATGATGTGTCTTGGGGTGTTCCTCCTTGGGTCCAACTGGACTTTCATGTCTATTTCCTTTGCCAAATTGGGGAAATTTTGCTTCATTATTTTTTCAAGTAAGTTTTCAATTTCTTTCTCTTCCTTTTCTCCTTCTGACACCGCTATCATTCAGATGTTGGAACTTTAGAAGTTGTCCCAGAGGTTCCTAACCCTCTCCTCATTTTTTTTTGAATTCTTATTTCTTCATTCTGTTCCAGTTGAATGTTTATTTCTCCCTTTTGTTCCAAATTATTGATTTGAGTCCTGGTTTCCTTCCCTTCAGTATTGGTTCCCTGTATATTTTTATTTAATTTTGTATTGCCTTTACTTCTCCCTTTATTTTATGACCATACTCAATCATTTCTGTAAGTACCCTGATTATCAGTGTTTTGAATTCTGCATCTGGTAGGTTGCTTATCTCTTCATCACTTACTTCTTTACCTGGAGTTTTGATCTATTCTTTTATTTGGGCTATATTCCTTTGTCTCAGTGTACCAGTCTGGATGAATTTTTCTTCTTTAACTCCTTGGTTGTCAGACTTCTATACAGTTTGATTTTCTGGTAGTTCTGTTTTTTTTTTTTTAATTGGTTGTTACCCTTCTTTTGGTTGTGAAAGGAAGCAAAGTGTATCCTCCTACACCTCCATGTTGACCAGGTAACCCAAGCTTTAAAATTTTTAAGTATTCATTTCTGAGCTAAATGAAACATGACTAGAGGATCTGCTATGTATGATTATTCTCTGGCATTTTTTGGAGAGTTGTTTTTAATCTCCACATGATTTATGTGTATATGTTTGTGTATGTGTAAGTATTCTATGTATGCTGAAATAAAAAGCATTAATTGTGTGGCTTAGAGACTTTATATGCATTTTTAAAAGTTCAGTGGCCTTCAACTTTTTGTTCATGTTCATTCAAAAATATCTTTGAAAAAAATCACACATCCTTACATTTTAAATTCACAATTAAAATTTTTCATTGTAAGTTTAAATAGAGCTGAGAATATAATTACTAATGTATTGTGTAAAACTTGATATTTAAAAATCTTTCACTGTTCTCTTAAAAATATCCAGTGACTTCTAAATATTTTAGTTGTTTGATGTCCTCACTATCAATTAAAACACATATAGGTTTGAATCAATTTTTCTGTAGACAACTAAAAACATTGAATAATTTTTAAAAACCTACTTAGAAGAGTGCCAGTAATCATGTTTTAAAATACAGAGGAAAAAAGATTTTGACTGCTATTGCATTCATGATTTTGAGTTCTTACTTCAGACCCACAACAAATTATAGATGGTATATAAATGTACTTTCAACTATTGTACTCCTTTCTTTTTCTGCTTCTTTCCTAGGAATCACACCAGTGTATCATAGCATGTTTGCCTTAATGAGTGAAACAGAAAGGATCTGGTATCCACCCAACCACATCTTCCATATAGATGAGTCAACAAGGCACAGTGTTCTCTACAGAATAAGGTACTTTCTTTCGTAATGTGACTCATGTAGTAGTAAAGGGCCAGATACATAATACCAGAGACTAGACCTAATTGACATTGAATTTTCTTCATTTAAGACTGTGTTTCTCCTTTAAAGGGAGTGTCCATACATGTTCTTTGATCAGAATGCTCTGAAAATAAAGCTGTTCTGGTGAGATGCTACGTTACCACTTATAATTATAGTTAAATTTTTAAAAGGATGAGTATGGCTTTACTAACAAAATCCTAAATGTTTGGAATATTGCTAGTTTCCTAGGAAATTAAATGTTTGTGCAATAAAATGTAATCTCACATGTCTTTTTAATAACTTTTTTTAAAGTTGACAAGAAGATTTTTCCAGTGTTTAGTATAGTCTCAAATTATAAAGTTAATTTATTTAATAATTTCTGGTAACATGTAATACTAATTTAGAGAAATCCAAAAGTATTTTTCTAGTCAGTGAAACAAAGAAGTTAAGTTTGATCTGTGGCTCTTATGAAATAGATGCATTCACTTTGGAGAGTCAGTGTTACAGTAGAAAAGAACATGGACTCATTCATAATTTTAAAAAGAAAGGTAAAGGGAGCCTTAATTAACTAAGACATAAGAGAGATATTCTTACCATGATAAAGGGTATCTATAAAAAAATATAGCAAATAATATTCTTAAGTGATAAAATGTTTGAAGTGGTCTCTTTAAAATGAGGAACAAAGATATCCACAGTCACTGCTTTGTTTAGAATTTCAGTCAAGTTCCTAACCAGTGCAGTAAGACAGGAAAACAAAGTTTAATAATTGAGAACAAAGAAACAAAAAGTCATTATTTGGAGATGACATAATATTTAGCAATGTACAGGTATCGATAATAAGCATATTTCTACATTTCTCTGTTTCCTGTTACTGTCTCTATGTTCTGTGCAGGGAAGGAGGGAGTGTTACTGATTTTACAGCTATGTTTCTTGTATTTTCTACCTATACTTTTATTATGGTCATATCCAGATTTCCTTTTGTTCTCAACTTGTATTTAATACTGTTAGCTGTATTTTCTGATTATGGGATAATACCTTTTAGTATGCTGGAAGTTGTTATATGTACACAATATGTTTATATTTGAAGTATGTATTTTGAGGCTGATGGAATGTTTTAACTGTCTTGTAGATTTTACTTTCCTTACTGGTATTGTAACGGCAGCAATAGAACCTATCGGCATGGTATATCTCGAGGTGCTGAAGCTCCTCTTCTTGATGACTTTGTCATGTCTTACCTTTTTGCTCAGGTATGATTATATTATCTACTTGCGTTAAATGATAAATACTTAATATAGCATACCTCTTTAATCAGGAAAATCTTCACATATGGAAAAATTGATGTTCCATTTTGCGTAAAAGGTGCAGATAAATAACAAAATTAAGTCTTTTTCACTAATTTTTAATCTCATGGTTTATGGATAATAGAATCTATTTCATAAACTTTCCTTGAATTAGCTATTTGATTTTTCTTCTCCTCCTCCTTCTTCTTCCTCCTTCTTCCTTCTTCTTATCCTTGTGCTTTAGATTATTTTAAGGATTTCACAAAGTTTAGACTGAGTTCTACAAAATGATTCATGTAGACATAAGTAGTTGAAACATAAGACAGTGAAATATCTTTAGAAAAAGTTTTATTTTTGAATTCCTGAGCAATTTCAGACTTAAATAGTGAGAATAAAATGTAAAGAAATTAGGTAACTGCATAAAGAATTGAGCTATAATAGTTTGCGTAGTTCCTCATGGGAGGGTGGCTGATATTTAGTCTGACAGCTGAGTTCCAGTTATTTGTTATTAATACTGTTATGTTAAATTTTCATAGTGTATTTGAACATTTTGTAATGCTTTTTAAATAGGTACCTTGATTTAAACAGTAATTGAAATGTATTATCATTAAATAACTTATGTTTCTATGCGCTGGAAGACTGAGGAATATAAACTAAAGAAAGAAAATATATTAGTGCTTTTAGGTAAAGACGTGGTCTTTGTATTCCCCAAGGTGTCAGTTTAAGGAGTTCTAAATCAAATTTGGTAATCTAATAGAAAATAATCCTACAGATCCTGATGGCTCAGATTTCTAAACTATCTAGTAGGGCTAGTTCAGTTTGTAAGCAACAAATTGGAACAGTTTTTTTTTTTGGGCTATGGGAGCAACCTACATTTTTTGTTGTGGTAAAATATACATAATAAAATTTACTATTTTGAGTCTTTTTAACTGGATAGATCAGTGGCATTAGTTAAGTACATTCACATTGTTGTGCAACCATCACTATCGTCCATCATCAGAATGTTTTTCATCTTCCTAAACTGAAACTTCATACTCATGAAACAACAGTGCAGTAAGACAGGAAAACAAAGTTTAATAATTGAGAACAAAGAAACAAAAAGTCATTATTTGGAGATGACATAATATTTAGCCATGTACAGGTATCGATAATAAGCATATTTCTACATTTCTCTATATTTCTACATTTCTACAGTTCCCCATTCCCCTCTCCTTTGGCCCCTGGCAGCCAGCTGTGTACTTTATGTCTCTATGAATTTGCCTATTCCAGGTATTTCATATAAGTGGGATTTTTGTGACTGACCTATTTCTTTTAATATAATGTCTTCAAGGTTCATTCATGTTGTAGCATGTGTCAGCATTTCCTTCCTTTTTAAGACTGAATATTGTATTGTACATAGTACCACATTTTGTTTATCCATTCATCTGCTCATGTATATTTGAGTTGTATCCACCTTTGGCTCTTGTGAGTGAATAGTGATGCGGTAAACATGGGTTTACAAGTATCGGAGACCCTGCTTTCAATTTCTTTGGATATATGTTCAGAAGTGGAATTAATTGAATCAAGTGGTAATTCCTTTTTTGACCTGTTTTTGAGAAACTGCTATACTGGTTTCCATAGCAGCTGCATCATTTTTACATTCTTACAAGCAGTGCACAGCATTTCTATTTCCCCACATCCTTGCCAACACTTTCTATTTTTTTTATAATAGCCATTCTGATAGGTGTAAACCAGCATTTGTTGTTTTGATTTACATTTCCCTAATAATTAGTGATGTTAACCATTTTTTCATAAGCTTGCTGGCCATATGTATATCTTTGGGGAAATTTTTATTCAAATCCTTTGCCCGTTTTTAAAGCAGGTTGTTTTTTTTTCTCAAGCTATAAATGTTCTTTATAAATTCTATATGTTAATTCATGTATCATCAGATACATGATTTGCAGATTTTTTCCTCTCATTCCATAGGTTTACTTTTCATTCTGTTGATTGTACCCTGTGGTATGCAATAGTTTTTAATTTTTTTTTTTTTTTAAGATTCCATCTATTTATCTTTAGGGAGGGAAGGGAGGGAGAGAGAGAGAGAGAGAGAGAGAGAGAGAGAGAGAGACATATCAATGTGTGGTTGCTGGGGGTCATGGCCTGCAACCCAAGAATGTACCCTGGCTGGGAATCAAACCTGGGACACTTTGGTTCCCAGCCCGCGCTCAATCCACTGAGCTACGCCAGCCAGGGCTTTTTAATTTTTATGTAGTCCAGTTTTTCCTTCTGTCACCTGTGCTTTTGGTGTCATATTTGAGAAATCATTGCCAGATCCAATATCATGCACCTTTCTTCCTACATTTTCTTGTGTTTTATGTTTTATTGTTTTAGTTCTTACATGAAAGTCTTTTGTTCATTTTGGGTATGTTTTGGTATATGCTGTCAGATAAGGGTCCAGCTTCATTTTTGCATGTGGATATCTGGTGTTTTCAGCACCATTTGTTGAACAGACTGTCCTTTCTTCATTAAATGGTCTTGGCACTCTTGTCAAAAATCATTTGCCCACCAACCGACTTTTGTTCAGCTTCCTTTGTTTCAGTAACCATTAAGAAAGAGAGACAAGCTTTTGAGAATATGTAGTATGAGATTATGACTTTCTGTCACTTTTATGACTTTATTTCGTCCACATTGCAGAGCTAATCTATTTTGGGAGCATGCTAGTTATGTTAATAAGGCAAGTTTTCATAAACTATTCATTTAGTTACTTTAATATTAATACTGTGTATTAATATTATGTCTGAATACTGTGCATTTAAAGAATGCCAACTCCTTAGATTTTCAATCATTTTGCCATAAAGTTTTAGTAAAAGTTCTTTTGCAAATGGAAAGTGGTTGAAATTTGGGTTCCCAATTTTAGAATTGGGAACAATATGTAGAGTACGTATCTCAATCTATTTCACTGCTTACAGCTTCAAATTATGTCTTCTACATCAAAACTACCTGAATTAAAATAGGTATTAATTAAATATGTACTGAGTTCCAAATACATTGAAAGCCTTATACTAGAGACTGTGTTGGGTACAGTATTAGATGTAGTCTCAACCTTCAAGGAGACTAACATCTAGCAGAGAAGCTAAACATGTAAATAGAAAATTATGATGCCAGGTATGGTATAGTAAGTGCCAGACAACAGATAGTTCAGGATTATATCCAGTTGGGGTAATCAGGGAAGAATTCATGGAAAATACAGTATTTCATGTATTCTTAAAGATGAAGTAATTTTTGATGGACACAAAACACAGTGAGAAAATAGAAATGATATAAGGACAAAGTACAAGGCATGATCAAAGATTCAAACTAGTTGGGTTGGGGTAGACAGTTCATGTAAGGGAATGGTATAGATTAAAACTTGGAAAAGTAAGTTGGGGTCAGACTGCAGGAACCCATTAATGACTTGATCCTAAAAGCAATAGGGAACCAGTTTCTTTAAGCTTATTTTCTTAAAGCATCATGACTTTTTCATTGGTAGAAGTAGCAATGCTAGAAGTGTTTTAAGAAAATAAAGTGTATTCGGGAAAACTCTTTAAGAGACTGCTATAATGGTTCATATATGAAGCAATAAAAATCTGATGTAGGGACAGAAGACATTAAAAGAGTCTAAAAATTGATAACTTTATAAATATATATAAAGAATTAAGAAAAGGGGAAAAGAGAAATTCCAAGATTTTTATCTGGTTACTTTAAGGGATATGTATAAAATCAGATTGAACATATATTGGGAGAAAGGAAAGAGTAGAACATGAAAAGCACCAATATTCTAGAAATAATAGCAATTTTCTTTATAAGAATTGTAAGAGCTATAATATTAACTGGAATGCCAATATTTGACCAAGGTTTTAAATTGGATATAAGAAAAATAGGGTCGCCTTCCATTTTTTGTATTTATCTTCCTTCTTTTGATGTGATAACCTATTTCATGAAATTAAAGTTTTACATGCATTCTTTAAAAAATAAATTTATTAAATAAAATGAACTTAAAAGTAGATTTGTTAACTTCCTATTAGCTAATGAGAAAATATTTTTGTATAAGAAAAGAAACTATATCACTTAAAAAGCACAAACAATGAAATAACCAGCATTAACCAAAAACAAAGGCCTAAATGTTGGCAATAAAAAATTAATTCAGGAAAGGAGCTGAATTGTTTTGCACAATTTCAAACACTTATTTTACAACATTTTTGAAAATGAGCAAGTAAGTCATTCTGATTAAAAAGGAGCTACTAAAAACTGATGCCTAGGTAGATTTCTTTTTAGTAGCTTGTGGTTTCCCTCTGTATAATACAGGACCAGTGGATAATAAATTCTGTTCATGAAGGTAGTCTGTGGAACTCATGCCCAAAAGAAAACAAACATGAAAAATCTGTGAGAATAGCACTAAGAACATAATCAACCAAATACCCATTAGAGAAAAGCTACAAATAGAGTCCCAAATGCCAAAGCATGTTATTTTCAACTAGCTTGCCTTCAATATCACAGAATGTACCAATGAATTTTCATTTCATTAAGACTGTAGAAAAGTAGTTTTTTATACGTGTGGCAGACAACATCTGAGCAAAGAATTTTTGTCTGCATTCAGCTAGAAAAATAAGAAAACAGTTATAATCACCAACTCATAAATGAATCAAAGAAAGAACATGGAGTAAATATCCTTTTTTTTCCCTGGCTGAATATATGTGAATTAATTCATGGCTGTTCACATAGAAGCAGTTTACTTTTTTTTTTAGTGGCCATATTTGATGATATAAAGACAATTCTCAGGAAAAAAATTAATTTAAAAGGCTCGCAGCTTGATTTTGTCTTTTTAATTGCTTACAGGTTCCAAATCTGTCTTTCTCTAATACTGTCTTACATACTCTAACAACAGTTTAGTGTCTGAACTACTTTTTTAAAACTACTCTTTAGAATTTGTTTGGTTTTTTTTTTGGCCTGTAGTTTTCTTTTTTTGGTTTTGGGATCAGGATGACACTGGCTTCATACAAAGAGTTTGGGAGTCTTCCCTTTTCTTGAAATTTTTGACATAGTCTCTGAAAGATAGGGGTTAGCTCTTCCTTAAATGCTTTATAAAATTCTCCTGTGAAACCATCCAGTCCAGGGCTTTTGTGTGCTGGAAGTTTTTTGATTACTGCTTCAATTTCATCAGCTGTTATTGGTCTATTCAGGCTTTCTGCTTCTTCTTTAATCAGTTTTGGAAGATTATATTTTTCTAGAGATTTGTCCATTTCACCTAGGTTTTCAGATTTCTTGGCATATAGTTCTTCATAGTAATTTCTTACGATCCTTTGTATTTCTGTGGTATCAGTTGTAATCTCTCCTATTTCATTTCTGACTGTGTTTATTTGGGTTCTCTCTTTTTCTTGATGAGCCTGCTTAAAGGCTTGTTGATTTTGTTTATCTTCTTGAAGAACCAGCTCCTGGATTTATTGATCTTTTGAATTGTTCTTTTAATCTCTGTGTCATTTAATTCTGCTCTGATCTTGATTATTTCCTTCCATGTACTTGCTCTGGGCTGTTTTTGTTGTTCCTCCTACGCCAGTTCTGGTAGGCGTAGGGTTAGGTTGTTTGTTTGGAATGTTTCTAACTTTTTTAGATAGGTTTGTAGCGCTAAACACTTCCCTCTCAGGACTGCCTTCACTGTGTCCCATAAATTCTGGATTGTTGTGAGTTCATTTTCATTTGTTTTCAGAAACTTTTTGATTTCTTCCTTGATCTCATTCTTAACCCATTCATTGTTTAATAGCATGCTATTCAATCTCTATGAGTTTTAGTGTTTCTGAGTTTTTTCCTTGAGGTTGGTTTCTAGTTTTAGTCCCTTGTGGTCAGAGAAAATGCTTGATATGATTTCAATTTTCTTTAATTTGTTAAGGCTTGTTTTGTTTCCTACCACATGGTCTATTTTTGAAAATATTGCCTATGGCCATACCACCCTGAAAATATTCCATGTACATTTGAAAAGAATGTGTATTTAGCTTCTTTGGGATGAAAGGTTCTGTATATATCAGTTAAGTCCATTTGATCTAGGACATTGTTCAATGCTGCAATATCTATTGATATTTTGTTTGGAAGATCTATCTATTTTTGACAGTGGGGTATTAAAATCCCCTACTATAATTGTGTTGCTCTCAATAACTTTCTTGAAATCCTCCAAGATTTTCCTTATATATTTGGATGCTCCTATATTGAGTGCATATATATTTACAATGTTTATGTCTTAATATTAGGAATATTAGGAATATTTTCATACATTATGGAAATTGTAGGTTAAAATATTGTAGTAGATTTAAACGTGATAGTGAAACTTACAAGGTATTTTCTTTTAAATATTTTTTTCCATTAGTGGCGTCATGATTTTTTGCATGGATGGATAAAAGTACCTGTGACTCATGAAACACAGGAAGAATGTCTTGGGATGGCAGTGTTAGATATGATGAGAATAGCCAAAGAAAAGGATCAAACCCCACTGGACATCTATAACTCTATCAGGTAATTTCCTTATGTGAATCCATATACATAAATGGGGACTATTGGACTTTTTGTGCAGTTTATTTGTATTTAATGTGTTTGCCCATACTTTTTATTTTATAATGATTAAAAGTGTTATGGGCAACTTTTTCCTCTTGTGCACAACACATACTTTGTGAGATAAAAGAAACTATTATTTTTTCTTCTAGTTTTATTGAAATATTGACATAAAACACTGTATAAGTTTAAGGTATACAGGATAACAACTTGACTTACATGTTTGTGAAATGATTACCACAAATATGAATCATTTCATATAGGTAGAAAGAAAAAAAATATTTTTTCCTTGTGATAGATACTCTTAGGATCTACTGTCTTAACAATTTTCATGTATACCATACAGCAGCATAAACCGTAGTCATCATATTGTACATTACATCTGAGAAGTACTTATTTATCTTATAACTAAAAGAAATGATTGAAAGAATTGATGTACTACAGAAATTATTATAGGCATTCACTACCTATTTATTATTTGATTTGTTTATTGTGGAAGGCTAGGTAAAGTCATAGAACTGAAAAGACCACCTGAAGACGTAATTTGTGCAACCAGATCTGCACATTGTATAAATGATTCTGAATCATAGTATCTCTAATAGTGTATATATTTTACTTATATCAGTATCACCTGAGATTCCTGCTAAAATGAAAATTTCTTGGGTGCAAACTCAAGAATTTGGATTCAGTAAATCTGAAGTGAAGTCTACAAGTATGAATTTTTATAAGTGCTCCCAGAAATTAAAAAATAAATCAGCTTTATTGGAGTATAATAGACATGTAAAATTGTAAGATATTTGAAGTATACATCATGATGATTTGATATACACATATACATTGTGAAGGAATCTACTCTGAAGTTCATTCATATATCTACTACCTCACATATTTATCTTTTTTTTCTGGGTTTTTTTTTTTGATGATAATACTTAAGTTCTATTCTCTTTAGCAAATTTCAGTTATACAATACATTTTTGTCAATTACAGTCACCAAGTTGTACATTAGATTCTCAGACCTTGTCTATTTCATAACTGATTTCAATAGATTCTTATACAAGTAAACCACACTCCACACACTCCAAATTATTTTTCTGCACATTGAATATTGACAATCATGCCAAATAAAAGTTTCTTTCCATTTTTAAATAATTTTTATTTTTTTATATATATATTTAAGGTTTTTATTTTTTAGAGAGAAGGGAAGGGAAGGAGAAAGAGAGGGAGAGAAGCATCAATGTGTGGTTGCCTCTCACATGTCCCCTACTAGATACCTGGCCCACAACCCAGGCATTTGCCCTATACTGGGAATTGAACTGGTGACCCTTTGGTTTGCAAGCTGGCACTCAATCCACTGAGCCACCCCAGCCAGGACTCATTTTTATTTTTTTATTACAGTTGACGTATTATATTAGTTGCAGGTGTACACCCAATGATTAGACACTACATAACTTACTAAGTGATCATTCCAATAAGTCTTGCACCCATCTCACAACATATAAATTTATTAGAATATTGTTGGCTATATTTCCCATGCTGTACTGTACTCTACATCCTCATGGTTATTCTAAATCCCTTTGCTTTTATCACCTATCCCCCCAACTCTCCTCTCATCTGGCAACCATCAAAATGTTCTCTATCTATGAGTAATTCTGTTCTGTTTGTATATTTTGTTTTTTTAGATTCAGTTGTTAATAGATTTGTATTTATTGCCATTACTTATTCATATTTTTGATCATTTTATTCTCCTTTTCCTTCTTAAAGAAGATTCTTTAACATGTCAAATAATGCTGTTTTGGGGGTGATGGACTCCTTTAACTTTTTCTTGTCTGGGAAGCTCTTTATCTGTATTTCGATTCTAAACGATAGCTTTCTGGATAGAGTAATCTTTGTTGTAGGTCCTTGCTTTTCATCACTTTGAATGTTCCTTGCCAATCCCTTCTGGCCTATAAAGTTTCTTTTGAGAAATCAGCTGATAGTCTTATGGGAGCTGCCTTGTAGGTAACTAACTACTTTTATCTTGCTGCTTTTAAGATTCTGTCTCTGTCTTTAACCTTTGGTATTTTAATTATGATGAGTTTTGGTGTAGGCCTTTATGTGTTCATCTTATTTGGGACTCTGTGCTTCCTGGACATGTATCTATTTCCTTCACCAAGTTAGGAAAGTTTTATGTCATTATTTTTAAAATAGGTTTTCAATTTGTATCTTCTTCTTCTTCTTCTGTCCTGCACCCCATGATGTAAATGTTGGTATGATTGAAGTTGTCCCAGAGGTTCCTTATACTGTCCAAATTTTTTATTTTTTCTTTTTTCCTTTCTGATTGGGTGGCTTTTGCTTCCTTATATTCCAAATTGCTGATGAGCTTCTTGGCTTCATCTATTCTGCTGTTGATTCCCTATAAATTATTTTTCATTTCATTAGTGTGTCCCTCATTTCTAACTGGTCCTTATTTATACTGATGAGGTGCCATTAAGTTCCTTGAACATTCTATAACTAGTATTTGAACTCTGTATCTAGTGGATTGCTTGTCTCCATTTTGTTAAAAAAAAGTTTGGGCGGGGCGGGGGGGGGAGTTTCATTCTGTTTGTTCATTTGGGACATGTTTCATTTTGTCCTCTTTTGGCAGCTTCTCTGTGCTTGTTTCTATTTATTAGTTAGAACTGTTATGTCTCCCAAGCTTGGTAGAGTGGCCTAATGTAGTGTGTATTCTGTAGGGTCCAGTGGCACAGTCCTCCCAGATCACCCAAGCAGGGCACTCCGGGTGTGCCACCCATGTAGGCTGTGTAGACCCTCCTGTTGCAGTTGAGCCTTGATTGCTGTCAGCATGTCAATGGGAGGGATTTACCCCTAGACCAATCAGCAGCAAGGACTGGTTGTTACCACTCACCACTGACCTCCTACCACTGTGGAGATCAGCTGTACAGGGGCCTACCCTACAGAGTAGAACTTATTTCAGTGTGGCTCTGACACCCACTGAGTCTGCCTCTTAAATGTGTTGCTTACGGAGGTGGTTGGGTGGTGATGCTTTGATGTGATCTGAGGCTTTCTGCTGGGTGTGCTGTCTCTGGGGCCTCTCGGGAGGAGCAGGCCAAGGTCAGCCACCACCAATATTTTGCCCGAGACCACCTGGCATAAGCTACAAAGCAGTCTGCAAATGACTGCTACTTGTGCTGGCCTTGGAAGTGCCCACATGAGGCCTAGGTGTGAACCAAGGCTGACTACTGCTACTTTAGGTGACTGAGGCCACTTAGTGAGAGGTATGGGGCACATTGAAGCCAGATATTGCTTGTTTGAGAGATTTTAAGAAACTCTAAAACATGAGCCTGTATAGGCCATTTTGTATGGAAAAGCCACTAGAAACAGCTTGGGTGGGCCTGGCAGTTGGGTTGGGGAGGGCCTCAGGGAATTACAGAGTGGGGCAGACAGTATGAACCCAGGTTGATGGTGCCCACCTCCTGGCTCTGTGGGGGGAGAGTTTATCAAAGGAACAGAGGCCTCTGCCAGCACTTCTGTCTGGGAGAAAGTTGCTTCCCAACTCTCACCCTGATGCCAGACAGGTCAGTTTCTCTCTGTATGTCTCTGGTGCTTTTCAAGCTGCTGCCCTAGTGCTGGAGCTTGGAGGGAGTGAATCTGAGTAAGGTCATGCATGGGCCCTTTAAGATGAGCTGCCTAGGACTCCACGATCCCTCTCTCTCCCTCAGCCTCAATCCCCACTGGATGTTAACAGACAGGAGTTATGGGGATTTCTCTTTCTGGCACTGGAACCCTGGGATGGTGGGTCTGATGTAGGGCTAGGATACCTCACTTCTTAGGGGGACCTCCACAGCTGAGACATACTTTCCAATGGGTGTAGATCCAGGTGGTTCTGTGTTTCCACCCCTCCCACCAGTCTCAGTGTGACTCCTTCTTTATATCCCTAGTTGTAGAACTTCCATTCAGCCAGATTTCAGGTGGTTCTGAATGATGGTTGTTTTATAGTTTAGTTGTAACTTTGATATATTGTGGGAGTAGGCAAGTACTGTGTTTACCTACCTGCCATCTTGTCTGTAGGTCCCAAATATAATTTTTAGGGAAACTGTACTCCTATAAGCCCAGCCTTAATGGCTGTAAATGTTCTACTTTTTAAAAGGTATATATGAATGCTTTGGGTTTTTCTTTTAAGTTTGGAGACTACATATATGTCTTACATAGTACATACCAGATTTAAAGTCTGAAGATATCATGAAACTGATTAAAACTCCCTTTGTTTCTTGAAATTATTTTTTCAATAATTGGCTTCAGTCACTTTTATCTTGAGTGCCTTCAAAACAGTTCATATACAATTTACAGAGTATCAATTTCATTTTCCCTTTTTGGTTTTAAGTATTTTTCTTTTGCTTTCAGATGTCCATTAGGCCTTACGCTAAGACTGTAAGCCATATGGTATAATTACAGGACCTTACTGAAGAATCTAGAAGATTTTAAATTCCAAAGGAAAAACAAACATTTGTTTTCACTAAGGCCTTGATCTTTATTAAAAGGCAGATAGACACCCCTTAGGGTATTAATTTATTTTTTCATGTAGTCATTCATTCACTCATTTAACAGTACTTATTGAATACCTGCTATATGCCAAATCATAGGAGAATAGAATCCAGGTTTGAATATCTTACATACCATTAATAGAAACTAAAGGAATTGAAAAGAACACAGTTGCAGAACAGAGAAGATTTGAGCCACTGAAAATGAATTTTCTAAAAATGAAGCCATCTTTGGGCTTATGCTTTGTTGGAACACTTCTGCTTTAGAGACAGTGATATTGTCCAAAGTCTTGATATAATCTTATGGTTTCTTTGAGGTCACTTGTCAAATAACATAGTTATTCTCCCTGTTATTTAGTCTAGTGTCCTAAACTCAGTGAATGTTTAGTAATTATATTTTTCTCATTACTCTTAATCTAGATATAAATATCTGCAAAATTCTGCATC